GGCAGCAGAACGAGTATTTCTTTAGCCAATTTTGGAGAGTGGTAATTTCTACTTATTCCTGTGGGATGACTGGCCAAATACAGACAACATGATGTCATGTCTACACATTTCCACTGTAACTACACTACAATAGAACTTGATAGATAATGCTCCTAGCTCTGATAATCAATTGAATGTTTTTCCTTGGACTGTTAAAAGGATAGTTCTCCCTAAAATGAATTTTATTTAGTGCTTTTTATCCAGCTTTGGAGAGGGATGGGGATGTCAGCATTCTCTTAAGTGTAATGCAATTAGATGGTGCGTGCCTTGAGATGCAAAAAAATAATGCACATGATTCACAACCAAGTTACATCCCAAAGTTTGTGGTAACTTGGGGGGTGTTAATTGATGCAACGTCCAGAGGCAGAGGAACCAAGTGCAGGATGAATTTTCAACAAAAAAAATCAAGTGGTGGTTGTTCACTTTAAGGTAGTCGGCAAAGTCAAACAATCCAGACAATTGGGAGGCAAAAAGGCAAAGGGTGCACAGGGAATCACTATAAACACAAGAAAAATAATAAGAACATGAGGAAGGCTGTAAAGTTTGACAAAATGAACACAAGGTCAAGACAATCTGGTAACTGGGGAGTGCAGGACAGCACGCGTGTATACTGATTGACTAATTGGAAACATGTGTTACGAATACCGCTGATACTCATTAGGGCATGACAGACAATTACCAAGGGGGAAACACAAGCAGGGCGGCACGGCGGTGCAGCATTTAGCACTGTCACCTCACATCAAGAAGGCCCAGGCTTCAAATCTGCCTGTGTGGCACTTTAATGTTTATGCCTCCTCAAAAGCTCCAAAGACATTGCTGACGGTTAACTGCTATTCTAAATTGGCTGTAGGTGTTAAAGACAGCATGGATGGTGACTTTCAACTGGACAAGCAGTTAAACTTGATGGATGGAGGGACCACAAAGGTGAAAAGAGACTAAAATTAATATTCCAGAATAAAACAGGACAAAGTTAACATCCTTTCATGCACCACTTGTAGCATGACGCATGCTTCATTCTGCTCAGTGA